GTGAGAAGGTGGTGGAGGCCAAAACCGTCAGTAATTTCATAGCGTTATATGACAAAGAGTGATGGGAAGACGGGACACCACGAGCGTAGCTCTCATCCTGTAACTACACTTAGGTAATTACACATCCCTCACTACCTCTCCTCCACTGACTGGACTGGACTGACTGACTTGACTGACTTGACAGCTCCCTCCATGCCTGCCTTTGGATAACTTAAGTTTGCAAACCAAGTGGTTGTCTGTACAAACATTTTTGGAAATGGTCACTTTTGGACTCACGCGGTGAAAAAGTATGTTAATCCAGAAAACCGGCTAATCTGGCATGGGGTCCTACCCATATAGTCCGGATTAGCGGGTTTATACAGTAATCTGCATAAGATGACGGTCCCAAAACAACAACGAAAGGAAGAAGAGGACAACCCTATCAGAGACCTACGAAGGGATAAGAAATAACGGAAGGACCGCCAGGAAACTTCATACTGCTACAGAGATGAAGCATGCAGGTGGGACACCATTAACAAAGCCACCTGATCACCATACAAACGGAGATAGACCCACATCAAAAAGACCAGACATGAAGACTCAAGGAGAAGATAGAACCAGCTACGTAACGGACCGGTCCGATCTACTGAAATCGGCAGAGCCACGGGAAGACCCGCGGGGTTCGGACATCGAGCAAGCAGCACCTGAAACCAAGGCTGGGCCGGCCACCAAGGAGCTAAGAGGACTACTCTCCCTTGGTAGTCTCCAAGCGAGTTAGGACCTGGAGTAACAGCTGAACCAGGGTGAAGAGGTACAGGAAACCCCACCTTGACCAGTCCTGCCTGAAGGCGTCGACCCTGACAGCCTTGCAGTTGGGGAAGGGTGCCACATATAATGGGAGGCGCCCCAACCATGCAGATGCAAAGAGGTCCACCTCCAGGAGCCCGTATGTCCGGCAGAGCCAATTGAACGAGTCAGCGTCGACTGTCCATTCCGTGGACAGTGGAATGAACCAAGACAGGCCGTCCGCCAGGACGTTGGACACCCCCCTGAACGTGAACTGCCAGGAGAGCCGAACACTGAGAACTCAGCAGACGAGTCAACCGAAGCGACCAGCCCCAATGAGCCAAAGACCACATCGAACCCCGGCAATGAACCACTGGGGAGCACTCCAAATGGAGCCTGACCATCGATCCGCGAGCAACCTGAACCCTACGAAGTGACAGCCACATCGCCGCGAACTCCCACACAAAGCTGTGGGTCAGGAAGGAAAGACCTCACCGCCCCTGGCCGGTCCTCTGAGCACTGGTCACAAAGCCCCCAGACTAGAGACAATGCGTCCATGAACACATTGAGCGAGGGCTCGGGTAGGCAGCAAGGCAGTGAACCCCCGAAAAACCCAAAGAGGAAGTCAGCGACTCAGCAACTGATGCAAGGCCCCCAGAGGCCAAACCCAGCAATCGCGAGAGAGGCCAAAGGGATGACCCCAAAGGAATCAGAACAGCCAACGAAGCCAAACCCAACCCGGTGGGTAGACCATCACTGCTAAGCTCAGACTCCCGCACAAACCCTTGAGCAACCGCCGCGTGACACAGGAGCCCCCCAGAAACAGGCGAAGGCGGGACTGCTGCCAAAGGGCCTCCGGAGGAAGAGACAAGGAAGCACTCCGAGAGTCCCACACAAGACCCAGCCAAGACCGAACCAGATGGGACTTCTCCAGCTCACCAGGAACCCGAATCAGGCGAGCTGGGAAAAAACAAATCCCTGGCGAGCAGACATGCGGACTGGCTGGGAGCCAGTCCACATGTCACCAGCACCAGCCAGTCATCGAGGTAGGCCAAAACCCGAACCCTTAAGAAAAGCAGATGGGCCACCACGACCTGGGTAAGGCGTGTGAACACGCAAGGTGCCAGATTCGAGCCGAATGGAAGGCAATGAAAATGGTAAGCCTGATGCCCCACAAAAAAACCAAGCCAGTCCCTGAACCCCAGATGAATTGGGACATGCCAATATGCATCCCGGAGTCAAGGGACACCATCCAAGTGCCCGGCTCCAAGAAAAGACAGACCTGGGACAGGGTAGACATCCGAAAGGAGGGGCAGGAGACCCAAGGGTTCAGACAGAACAAGTCCAGAGTGAACTGCAGGTCTGCACAGTCCCGTTTCAGAACCGGAAACATGCGGGACCCACCTGAGGGACCCACCCACCAGCCCTGAACCCCCTAAAGGAGGAGAGGCCACCCAACACCACCGCAGGCCATCAGAAACAATATGAAAAGCCCATTATGAGCAGAGCGATCACGCTAACCAGCCATCGTCAGTTCTGAAGGCTGTGTCATCCCCAAAACTGGCACCACTGGCCTACCACGACAAGAGGAACCCTAAGCCCTGGCACAACCCTTCTGGGACGACCTCCCCACAGGCCCCCTGGAGAACAAACAAGTTCGATATGGGACGGCAACCGGAAAAAGCTACCTGAAGATACTGCACCACCGCAGACTCTGCAAACAGCAAAGGACAAACAGGCAAAGAAACCTAAGAACCAGAGCCCAAGCTGATTCCACGGATTGAACGATCACCGCCTGCCGACATGCGAGATAAGAAACAAAAAACAGACACCACATCCCGCAGGATCAATGCGAACAGCTTCAACAGGGCAGACGATGCCCGCACTACCAAAACCAACCCAAAACCATTAGACCCAGGATCGGTCCCAAGTGCCTCCATGTCCTCCTCAAGTCAATTCAAAGACCACTCGAGAAGGGAAAAGAACCGCAAGACCAACACCATAAGGCTACGGGCGCAAAAATCCTCAGCAACCAGGGCAGCTAAAAGGGTGGGAACCTGCATGTGAAGCTGCACAATGCCGCCATCCCGAGGAAGGGCAGGGGTGAACAAGCACGCATTGAAGTGCTCAAAGTTGTCCCCCAGGTAAACCTGAACCACCGTAAGAGCCTCCTGCACCTCATGAGGCGGGATGCAAGAGGCTAAAAACCTCCGGAAGGACTGGACTGAAGTACATAAGGAAACACAGAACCGAATCCGGGGAGGGGTCAATGCCATATCATACTCGTACAGGGAAGGAAGATAAGAAAACCCTACCCCCTGTAACAAGCCCTGCTCAGAGAGTACCAAAAACCAAGCGGGGTGAAATGGGCCCAAGCCTCCCAAGTCAACCCCTCCACCCGCCCCGGGAGCCTCCACATCAGGACCCGGGGCTGAGCCGTCCTCCAAGCCCCCTGCCTCAAAAGAAAAGGCAGAAGCCGCCGGAAAAGCTGGAACAAAGAGGGCCCACTGGTCAAACCCAGAAGCACCAGCTGAAGGAACAGGCTTGAATGCCTCCATCGTCGCACAGGAAGGGGCATCCCCTGAAACTGTCAGAGTCTCAACACCAACTAAACCCTACCCCGACTCTGAAACTCTCAGACGCATCGGAGCCAGAAGCAAGGGGGAGGGGGGAGGAACAAAACGAACAACAGCAGGGGAAGGACAAGGGGGCACTGACGAAACCAAAGTCGAAACGACTAACACCCCCAAATCTGGGTCCCTATAACCAAACATGGGGCAGTCTCAGGGCTTCCGGGTGAGCATCCAACCTAGGTCATTGCAGCAACCTAAAACGCGCATGCAATGCCGTAGCTGCCTGCACCCGAAGATCATTATCAGTGGACTGGGTGTATTGGAGTACAAACAAGGAACAAAACTCGCAGAACTCCAGGTTGAAGGTGTCACCGACCCAACAGGCAGCATGACGGAGGCACAAACAGTGAGTGTCACCCTGAGATAAGGAGACAGAGCAACCTTTAAAACTCGTACGAAGCAAGATGGGACTCGAGGGACGCCTCCATCAGACCACTGAGCCACATGGGGTTTTCCAGGGCCCTTTGTCGCGTATTCTCACTAGGGGAAGCCTAGACTAGGTACTGCTAACCAGCGCCAAAAATTACCAAAACAAACTCCAAATTGCTGAACTCACGGGACATGTACACTCACGGGTACCTAGTAGAGGACCACCAAGATATAATTGGGTGAGGACCAAAACCAAGGGGCAGACCCCCACCAGGCAGGAAAACAAAAACAATAAAAAAACAAAAAATCTCGCAGGAGCACAACGTGCCCAGGCGGAACAGAGCCGGCCACTATGAGTAGGTGACAACTAGCTGCACAATACCTTGCATCCCAACCAGTGACGAAAACTACCTCCTTCCCAGAGGCAAAGAGGGGTGCATGAAGCACCCCAGCTGACTCCAATGGAGGGTAATCACCGAGCAGCAAAAGCCCACAGCAGCGGTAGACCCCAAAGGTGATTTGTGGAAGGTAGCCCCAAGCTCCATGGGCAGTACTTACAGGCAGTACTCTAGGGCTACCTTCCTAGGGAAGGTAACCCTAGGTGCAAGCAGACCGAGTACTGGTAAAAGTACTCCTGGCTCGCACACCACCACAGGACAGGACCACATCACAAGGCACAACACTGGAAAATTCAGAGCCAGAGTCGCACAACCGTCCAGGAAGCACATCAGCCACAGAACTGGTGTGTGGATAGCCGGCACGGGGGTCTGGGGCTCCCCTACTCCCTCCCGGGGAGGGGGGGTTGCTGCGCAGACGGCGGCACGGTGAAGGTTGTGACACCATGTTCGTTTGCTCATTTTTCATTTGGGGAGTTCTGTCCAATAGTTCGGCTTCCAGTAGCAATCTTTTAACCAGAATAGAGGTTTGTTTTGGGATGCCTACTTTTCTGGGTGCATTACCCGGTCGATGGCAGATATAGAATGCTTTCAACCACACGGGGTTTCTATAGGCCATTGCTCGTCGTGCCTTTCTGAGGGGAGGCCAGGTTCTGGCTCGTGGTCAGTGTTAGGCCTAGAACTCCATTCGCTTGACTGATGCAAGGGTCTAATACATTCATATCAGTCCGGATAGCTTCGTGGAGCAGAAGGGGCTTCCCCCAGAAAGTTTCCTATATATAAAGTCTACTCTCATCTTGATGTGTCTCCATGTCAAAAGTGTTTATATAGAGGCAATACTACACTCAGTTGGGTGAGAACAATGTGACCTTCAGCAACGTACCTTCACTGAGGTGTGGACAGTCTTGACATCTGGGAAGAGTTCCTGGCACTTCTGGAGCCAATCTTCTACCTTCATGCTGCACTCATCAGCTGTGTCTATGGTTGTGTCAACCTCCTGTGGGGTGTTGACTGTGTCGAGGCTCCCCAACATGGCCTGCAGCTGAGTCTTCCCTTCCTCTCCTTGTGTTGTCATATCCACCACACTGGTATCCTCCAGTTCCAAGAGCTTCATTGCTGACTTGTTCTGCTCTACCAGAGCATAGAGTCTGTCCTGGAGCTGGAGGTGGTGAGTCTTCCAGTCCCCCAGCTGCCCCTGGTACTCCCCCAGCTGGGACAGTACCTCTTCACAGCTAGTAATGAGGCTGCTGATGATGCTCTTCTGCTCCTGCACCAGGGAACGTAACTTCTTGCTGATTCCTCTCGCAGGAGTTTTAATGGGTTTTGCTGGTACTGTTTCCCCTGGCACAACCTCGATACCTTTTAGTTTTCTGATAAGGGCCTCCATACCATAACTGATTGGGAACTGAGTAGCAGCTGTGGCAGCATGCTGGGCACAGCAGCTGTGGCAGCATGCTGGGCCCGGCAGCTGGGGCAGGTCACCTGACCATTCTTGATAGCATTGTCAATACACTGGGAGCAGAATGCGTGGCCGCACGGCAGTGTGCGAGGCCGTAGCTGATTGTCGTCATAATCGTTAAAACACACTGAACATTCCTCTGGCTTGTTATCCTGTGGAAAAGAATATTTGGTTAAGCTAGATGTAGTTGCAACAAAAAGTAATATTACAGTACTGTACTGTATTTATCAATACAAATTATATAATATTTACATAATTTCCTTGTACAGAGGAACCTCAATATTTGCATTGCTTCCAATTCACACGTTACAGTATTCAGACACTGTGTTCATGTTCGGTATTCATCCGTTTGCCAAGCGTTCAGAAGTAAACATGCATCCCTGATGCTTCAGTTTCACCATAGCTGTTGTTCACTACACAACCCACTACACTTTTCTCTGGGATATTTTGGATATGTTTGATATTCTTAGTGTAAATAAGTCATCATGTCACTTATGAAGTTAGTGATAAGGGCCAAGCAAAAAAAAAAAAAAAAACAAATGGTTTGAATCAAGACACAGATGAAGAAAGAACTCGTAGCTGAATATGAAAGTGGTGCCCGTGTGTCTGCTCTCGATACAGAGTTTGGTATTCCTAAATATAGTTCTCTAATCAAAGGAAGGTGTGCAAAATGGAAAACATTTTCTTGAAAATTATCACCCTGACAAACTGTGTTATAAACCTGTTGAAAGACATTGCCATGTCTCACTTTAGAAACATTTTAACCACTGGGTTGCTCAGCTTCCAAATACGGCACCCCCCCCCCCCCCCCCCCCCAGTGCGCAGGAAATATATTCTCTGGATTTTTTTTATAGTGTCAAAAACCCTTCCCTGAGTATGGATATGTTAACAAAAAGTCGAAATTGTACTTTGGCTGCTATGGGGTCCGTAAGGTCGTGGTTGGTCATGGGAACCGGTCATCAACCAAAGGGAGCCGGTCGGCCGAGCGGACAGCACACTGGACTTGTGATCCTGTGGTCCTGGGTTCGATCCCAGGCGCCGGCGAGAAACAATGGGCAGTTTCTTTCATCCTATGCCCCTGTTACCTAGCAGTAAAAATAGGTACCTGGGTGTTAGTCAGCTGTCACGGGCTGCTTCCTGGGGGTGGAGGCCTGGTCGAGGACCGGGCCGCGGGGACACTAAAAAGCCCCGAAATCATCTCAAGATAACCTCAAGATGACGTCATTAATCCCCGGTCGCCCGTGGCGTACTCTCCCGAGGCCAGTAGGGCGCCGGCTCAAGATGCGTGAGTTGCCCCGAATATATTTTTGTTCATTTTTTGCGCACAGTTCCAAATACATTTTTTTATTTTTTTTTTTTGTGACAATCCTATGTATAATGAACACGTAGACTATATTATGGCAGTAGAACATCCGTACTGTCCGAAGACACTGTGTTACGTGCATGACACGTGTACACATATCCTGCACATATTTCCAATGTATCATGCTAATTTATGTATATATACATTCTATTTACACACTATACACTATCACACACTATATACACACACCATAAACACACTGAAAACTCCGCGAGTGTGAGCTTCCACACCCAGCCAGTCCTCCCTCACTCCTCCAACATCATACTCGCCATCCCCCCTCCTCCCACCATACTGTTATTCACACCAATGTTTCATGTTCATTTATGTATATTTACAACATATTTACACACTATACACTATCACACACTATATACATTCTCCATAAACACACTCAGAACTCCTCAAGTGTGAGCTGCCACTCCCAGCCTCACATCTCCAACATCGTACTCGCCATCACTCCTCCTCCCACCATACTGTTAATGTTTTTATTACACTATTTACACATGTTATGTATACGTATCTACATGTTTTATTCACCAGAACTATGCAAGTAAGCCGGTATTGTGTCCAAACAGCACAGTAGCCACCATACACTGCATGAGAAATCACACAGCAGCCAGCAGATGACGCTACGATTACGACGTCACCTCCCTCACCAAAATAGCTCCTCCCAACAAACTCCTGTTGCTGTTATTACACTACATACACACATTGTATATACCCATGTACATATGTGTTCACCATAGCGAACCACTAAGCTAGTATGGTGAGCAAAACAAGAGTGGCTGCCACACACAGTGACGCTATCTGGAATCTCTCCCTCCCTCCCTCACCAAACTTCCTCCTCCCACAATACTACGCACAGTGCTAATTATCACCAAAATCCAGCTATTATCACAATCCTGGCCACTAAATCCTGTAAATGAATAATTGACCACAGCTTTATTTTGTAAAGTAACATAAGAAGTCGTTTGAAGATTCCTAGATGGACGAAATAATGCTGTGATGTGGCTAGCGCTGTGAACATCGTGAACAGCATTGATTCACTGATATTTGAACAATGTACACAGTCATTATCACACTTAGGCTCTTCTGTGATACTATCATGGCTAAATACAGTAATACAAGTTATATATATATTTTGACATTATTAGGCAATGCTGTGGTCAGAAGCTGAACAGCAGTGCTGTGAGCTCATGCTGCGTGTGCCAGCCTTGGTTGCTCACTCAGTACAGTACTGAGGCTCTCACACCAGGGAATGTTGCCCACGATTTTTTTTAAAGATGGCGTCTGTTTACAAGATCCCTGAGGAAGCTGATGTGAACCCCATGTAGCCATGAGAGTTTTGAATCATACGCTAAAAATATAAGATCCCCGGAGGCGCATTGCAAGCCCCCCCCCCCCCCCCCATTGAGGGCCTGCAGGCATGTTGAGCAGTTGAGAGGTTAAAGTGCTGACAAAATTAATCATCCTTGGACAAGTTTCTTGTAAGAAAAGCATCCAGTGAGTGTAATGAGGGAAACAGAAAAAGACAGAAAAGAGAAAGAATCCCAGAAGCACAACTACCAGAAGTTATAATGGTATGGGACTCCCCTGCCAAAGAACATCTCTCTTCCTCTGCCTCACCACCTTCCACATATGCCATCAACATATGTCTAAGTGTTGGTAAAGTGTGTTAGCATTTATTTCATTTAATTATTGTATAACTATATTTATTTTTGTGGTCTGGAACTGATTAATCCAATTTACATAATTCATTATGAGAAATAATTGTTTGGCATTCGTCTCTCCTTCAGGAACCAATTAAATCCGAATACTGAGGTTCCACTGTATTAGCTATTCTAAAACAGTGATTCAGTGAAGTTACAGTGAAGTGTAACACGACACATAAAAGTTGAAATGTAGGAATATTGCCATGTGAAAAAGTGGAGATGTATAAGAGTGCTAAAATAAGGCAACACCCTTGAATGTGTATACACTAGCCACGAGGTGACCAGGGCTAGAGCCGTCCTCAGTGAGAATATACTGTATACACTAGCCACGAGGTGACCAGGGCTAGAGCCGTCCTCAGTGAGAATATACTGTACACACTAGCCACGAGGTGACCAGGGCTAGAGCCGTCCTCAGTGAGAATATACTGTATACACTAGCCACGAGGTGACCAGGGCTAGAGCCGTCCTCAGTGAGAATATACTGCCAGCCAAGGTGACCAGGGCTAGAGCCGTCCTCAGTGAGAATATACTGTATACACTAGCCACGAGGTGACCAGGGCTAGAGCCGTCCTCAGTGAGAATATACTGTATACACTAGCCACGAGGTGACCAGGGCTAGAGCCGTCCTCAGTGAGAATATACTGTGAATTTATATTGAAATATGGGAATGGGAATCTAGAAATAAATAATAGAGTAAGTCAACAGAGGAAGCCAGAAAGTAAGCATAAAATTCCTTATGATAATGGATACAGCCAACCAGTCATTAATGGTTTAAGAACAAAGAAGTGGCAACAGGACACATCAACCCAGAGACCTGAGGGGAAGGTTACGGTCAACAACAGTGACTTGTACTCCTCTACATACGATAAGTACCTGTACATAAGGGTTAAGCATATAAATTTAAATATACATATACTGTAATATTAGAAATAGTAAAATACTGAGGACAGTTTACTAAATACTGAAATACTAAGGACACCAAATAGAAAACTGGCACCTCCACACTGGTGGTGATGGTGACCCAGGGAACAGCCAGGGAGTGGAGCCACTCACTAAACTCCAGGTTGCCATCTACAGTATACCCTGGAACATGCAGCTGGGTAGGGTTTGAGATAAAGGGAATAGACAAACTGGTCTTGCATATTGAATGTTGTAATACACACTTTCAAGATTAGATAGGTACAAGAGGTTGGCATTCGTGCAAATATAGAACACTGGCAACCCCATTCCAAGTGCACTGCAAAACAGGACAAAACTGGCCTTGAGGGCGGCAGCCAGCTGACTGTGTGAGGTCCTACGTCTTTGTGCCTTTACTCACCATACAAGCTTAGATGTATAGTTATGGTGAACAAAACATGTAAATACTTATATATAACGTCTGTATATAAAAGTAAAAACAGTATGGTGGGTGGAGAATGATGGCTAGTCAGGTGAGGTGAGGGAGGGAGTGGCAGCCAGTGGTGGGCTGCCACTGGCTGCCACTGCCACTCAGCATACCAACTTAGTGGTTCATTATGGTGAACACGAATGTAGATACTTATATATAGCATCTGTATATAGTGAATAAAAGCAAAAACAGTATTGTGGGAGGAGAATGTGGGTGAGTCAGGTGACTTGATGGAGGGAGGGAGGAAGTAGCAGCCAGTGGCGGGCTGCCACTGCCACTCTGCATGCCAACTTAGTGGTTCGTTATGGTGAACACGAATGTAGATACTTATATATAGCGTCTGTATATAGTGAATAAAAGCAAAAACAATGCACTCCATATTTTTGAGTACAGCGATGATTCACTCATTTTATTATATAAATACAATGGTACCTCACATAACGATCGCCCCAAAAGACGAACATTATGGGTAAAGAACGGCCCGACCGGCGTCAAATCGTCCCGTATGACGAATGCTGGTTTGAGTAACCTCAACACCACATGGTGGGGTCGCGCTGCTTCTTGCACATTCTTAAGATGCCTCCGACGATGCACATAAATTATGTTGTTCTTGTTTAACCCTTAAACTGTGCATGGCGTATATATACGCCCTGAGTAACATGTCCCATGGTGCGCATGGCGTATATATAC